TTTTTTTTTTTACTTTTAAAAGCATTTTTTCACAACCTCTTCTGCTGAAGAGGTTGCAGAAAAAAATGCTTTTAGAAGCCTCTGACGATCAGGCAACTCAGCTGGGATCGCCAGAGGCTTTTAAAGGTATTTTTTTTCCTACAACCTCTTCGGCTGAAGAGGTTGCAGAAAACAATGCTTTTAGAAGCCTCTGATGATCAGGCAACTCAGCTGGAATCACCAGAGACTTTTAGCGGCATTTTTAAAGGCAACTATTCTAAAGTGTCACTAAATTTAAACAGCGATCAAAGATTCATTCTCAGATTCATTGAATGTTTTGTATGCACCTTTATATTTATACTGTGGTTCAGTCTTAAGTCTCATCTCAGTACTATCTCTACTTTGAGAATACGAAGAATATATAAGAATCTTCAATTACGAAGAATATAAAAGAATCTTCAATTTAAAGCATACAGCATTATAGCTGTAATGAGAAGTTAGTGAGGATGTGACAATTATCTGCAGATATTACAAAACTTAATATATCTATGTAAAATTGAGACAAAGTTACAAAGCTATAATTTTTCTCCCATGGATGTCCAAAAACACATTTTAAACTTGCCCCGTTTTAAAGGGATTTTAACTGTATGTAAAATGCACATGAGCATCAAGATATTTTGAAAGCTTACAAGTGTATGGAACAATGCTACAATACCATTCTTTGTTATGCTAATAGTTGCTTGCCAGCTGCTTCAAGCTGCCCTGCAATCATAGCCAAAGGCAGCCAACCCATTACATGGGTGGCAGGGGGGCGGAGGAGGGCGTCAGAAAGGGCAGCTTTATATTAAATATTCTGCTACTTCTAAAATTGTAGTTCCTCAGCACAGATTCAGATCCCTGAATGCTTTTAGTTTTGGGAATTAATCACTGAAGTAAATCTGCATCTAGAAACATTTGATGGATGCAAGCTGGTAATAGCGGCTGCAGATGCTAAAGCCTGGAAACAGTGGAAGATTGCTGGTGGCAGAGGTGGTGAGGGCATACCTCCTACTCTTGAGTTTGGTTCATCGTTTCCTTACCTCTCCATTCTAAGGCTTTTATGTACATAGTTTTGAGGATGATTTGGGTCTCTTCTCCACTTCATTCTCCATAGATACCTTTGCCAGATTCTTCAAGAATATTGATACTTCTAATGCAATATATTCCTTTTGGAATTGGGTGAATGGGATATATTAGTGGACTATTATACAGTATAATTCTATTCTATACCATGGTGGCTGGGATACTCTATACCATGGTGGCTGAGAATTGAAATCCATACATCTTTAAACTGTTAAGTTTGAGCAACACTGTTCTACAGCAGATAGGCAATTAAAGTATTGAGTTATCTCAACTTGGAAAACAAGGAGACCTCATTGTGACATCCTTCATGAGCTGTTCCACACTCAGCATTTATAGCTTTTTAATTCACAAGGGCCAAAACAGAGCCTTACATGGTCTTGGATGCATCTCTTACATTCTCAGATTAATCTTGAGTTGGATTAACTTCTTCACATCTGGGCAGACTGCCAGGACAAAGTATGCATTAAAATAAAATTGACCTAAGTGAGATATTTTGCAACATCACAAGGGAATCTCTGGATATCAGAGATCAGTCAATGCTTTCCATCTGCTTCAGCAACAGACACAATTTCTTTTTTAAAAAAAAAAATAACGACTAGAAATGCCTATATCAAAATTTACTAATTAAACTCACTGTTGATAATGGCATGTACAAATTTCACTTTTTAAAAATTCAGGCTACCTCTCATAATTTCTAGTCAGCATAACTGTAATTGTTTAATAATTATCTATCTTTTGGGGATAATTTTATAATTGTACATATCACATACAATATTGTATACGACTGTATACAATATTAAGTGCTAATCCATTTCTTCATAGGGGTGTTGAACATACTGGAGACTTTTCACTTGTATGCTTGGCTCATAGTACTATGTTTGTGTGCATTTGCATGATGCTTCTAACTATCAAAATACACATTTTAAAAATTGTCTTAATTGTATTGTTTGAGTTATCGTTTTTCCTCTACAACTATATGCATATTTTATGATAGCAAAGAGATCATAATAACAAAGGAGAAGTTCTTTAGTCAGTCATTTTCATGCTTGGAAGTCTATTTGTTGGGAAGTAAAGCTTAGTCATGATGACTCCTAAGTAAGTGAACTCTTGCCAAGGTCAAAATTTGATTGTACACAGGATTAGGCCCTAATTAGGGTAACTTTTCTATGCCAAAAGACAGAATCAGCACTGCTGATTGGTATTACTGTGGTAAAGTAGACATAATGTCTTCATCACAGACTAACAGAAAATGAAATATGGCATGCAAAATGCTTAATCATTAATTTATATGAAGCAAAAATGTGGTTATCTATCTTATGAATCATTGTTAGAAAATTAATGCCTCACCATCAACTTCCTTCAATCTCTGATTTACATGCTACCGTGAAAATCAGCAGAATTCTAATTAACTATGTTTGGAAAATTAGTACATTATTTGAAAAGTGGATATCCTGTTCGATAAGATTGCCAGGCAAAATGTTATAATATAAATTGATATATACGTTTTTATGTCTATGTCCCTGTGTATTTTTTTCCTTTATTCAACATGATTTAACTCAGTAATGAACTGAGTTCACATATTACACTAAGCCATAAGATATGTTCGTGAATAATTTCTATTGACTGAGTTCACACATTATACTAAACTATAAAATATGTTTTACAAAACACAGTTTGCTAGGTTTTCTCAACATGCTATGCCCAAACTAAAGAAATCACAATATGGCTTAATATAAATCATGTGTTTTGCATTGTTCTTTAATGAGAGTCTGCTAGAGAGCATGTTTGTGTGTTTTGCCTCCATGATAGAAGTCTCAGTGTTAAAATGAATAAATTTTGTGTTAGGGGAAGGATTTTACTGAAACTATTTGGTAAGTCTTAAATGGGAACAATTGACAAAATACAGATACACTAAAATAATTTTTAGATTAGGAAGATAAAACTAAGTTCTGCTTGCATCCAGGAATGTAGCAGTATTTTTAGAATATATAATGTAATTAATGTACAAAGTAAAACATCAGATGACATTTGTGATTTAAGTAGTTCCAGTTAGGTCATTAAAAGCATAATGGTCATTTCTGTTTAACCCTAGCAAGAAACATAATGTTTTTATTATACTGTATTTTATATTCTCTGGCATATTATAAGCTACCCAGAGTCATATGGAGTTGGGCAGCATGAAATTTAAAAAATAGTAAAATAAAATAATCCATAGCATATCTTTATCCTATCTTTAATATATTATCTGCTCTAATTTTGTTGAATTTTGTTTAAACTCCTTTACGACAAGGAATTTAGTCTTCTAATTATTATCCTCAGGCATATTATTTAATCAAACAGTATACAGTAGTTTTAATTTGTTATCTGTTTAAAAATATGAAAAAACTAAAAGATGCATACTGGGATCTATTATCATGAATCACAGTAGTTTTTACAACTTGATTGAGTGCCTGCACTCTTTAAAAAAAATAAAAAATAAAAACTCCTCTAGTGATATTTAAAAGCATAATGTTTTTCATCTGCGCCATTGCTGAAATGTTTGGATTTTTTTTTTTAATTCTCCTCTTCAACTATGGGTCAGCAGATATTTTATTATAACTCCTACCAAGTTTGATACTGGCTAATGCTGATTTGGAGCTATTTTGCTCAAAATCATCTGGGGATCTAAAACTAGGAAAATCAACCTAAAACAGATTAGAGAAAGCTGTTTTGCTACAATTTACTTTTCATAATTAAAATGTAGTGATACTAGTCTCTGTGTGAAGAGTGAATAATTATTCCTTTTTTGTTCTTTTAAATAGCTACAAAATTAAAATTAGATTCATACATTGTGCTAAGCTATAAACCTATGAATGTGGATGACATTTAGAAATCACACTAGTACTGGCCCTTAATCAACAAACCACATTGTTATTTACCACAAAGGGTGTAGTTGGAGGGGTAATTGTTATTTAATCACTTTGACCAATCCACTGAGTATTAAGAGATTTCAAAGAAAACTGGCTTTCATTTATCACCTTCCATGACCTCTCATTTTTCCCCTAGAGAAAGTCCATTAAGTAAGCAAAGACAAAATAGCTAAGTACTAGGAGCTCTTTAGTTGAAAACACGATTTTGTGTCAATTAGTAACAAATTCTCTGGGGTTGTTAACCTAACAGAGGCTATAGCTCTTAAAAACCAAGTCCCCTTGTATTCTATGGCTTAATTGTTCTAGGCAAGTGTTTCTCAACCTTGGTGACCTGAAGATGCGTGGACTTCAACTACCAGAATTCCTCAACTAGCATGTTTGCTGGCAATTCTGCAAGTTGACATCCTCATATCTCCAAGGTTGAGCTAAATTGTTCTAAGTCATATCAGTGAATCTTTCAATCTCTTAAAGATTTTCCAGAGACTACACAAAAATGCTTTCCCATTTTCCATTATTAGGAAGTTTCAATGAACAGATTGTCTCCTAGGAAATCTCTTAATTTAATTCAATACATCTGTATCTCCTCAGTAAAACAAACTATAAACATGAGAAATATTTTCCTTAAAACTGAAAACAAGAATTCAGCCTTACAGTAGCCTGGGGATTCTAAGCCAATTCCAGTTCAGGAGGGAGGGTTTTACTGGAACAACCTGGCTGGTAAATCTAAAATGGGCAAGTTGACAACATACAATATGCTTATAAACAATGTTCAAATTAGGAAAGCAAAACTAAGTTCAACTTATATTTAGCAATGCTTTCAGAATATACAATTCATGTACAAAGCAAAACAGTATTATAAAATGTTCCAGGATAAAAAGGGCTTTGATGTATTTAACTGATCTAACCAATTAAAACCATACCAGTCACATCTTACTTGCTCAAATATTTGCGTAAATGTTTTCTTGATGGCAAAAAAAGCAAAAAACAGAGTTAAAGCTTTTAAATGAAAAGGTTTTATAATTTTAATAAATATATATCAAGAAAAAACACACTTTACTACAACATCACCTTAGTATACAAATATCTAAATATCTAAGCTTAAAACATTCAATGTTTGACATATATTGGAAAAAGAAGAACAGATCTTTCTGTTCTCAACTGAATCTAACACAAGAAAAGTCAACTTTAAAAAAAAATTGGTCCATGTGGACAAATGATTAAATGATCCTACTCATACACTGTATGAATGAGACCTATATTTAATATTGATAGCAATAATAATGCTTTTGTCTTGGAGAAAAAAAGGTGGGACAACCTTTTAAAATGTAAATGTCAGCCTTGTAAAATTTCCCACTTTGGCATATATCAATTTTATATTTAATTCTTTATAAGCAGGACCTATGGGCACATGACATATACCTGTGACATAGCAATACAATGGAGAGGGAATCTTGAATATTCATACACGAGACATTTTATGTGTCATAGAAGCATTAAAAATGTGTGAGTTGACTCAATCAGCTAATCTCTGGGGAATGGATTTAGATACAAGGAGGCACAGTCTTGCCTAAAGTTAAATTAACACCGTTCAGGACTGCTAGCCAGATGGTTAGTTAATTCCTGTCTCTCCTAAGATAATGACAAAGTCTAGAGCAGTCCTGTAAAAAAAAGGGGGGAGGCTCTCTATACATTCCATTTCTGTAGTTATTTTGGCTTTTAATCCACCTCCTTGTTGCCACATGTGTAATGAAGAATTAGCAGAAATGGATGGGATCTGGGTAAGGAACTCCCTCACCCTGAATCATAATGATTTGAAGTCTGTGTGGGTTTCTTTTCTTTCTTTCTTTTTTTTACTCAATCTTTGAGAAACCGGAAGGAGAAGCAAAGCAAGAACTTTTGACTCCTTTTGCAGCAGCTAGAAGGATTTTAAAATTGTCCACATTGCACAGATTCATTTAGTCTCATTCAGCTGCTGCTGACACATCATAGTATAGGTCTGTTATTGGGGAAATGGGGTGGATGATTGTTTATGTCATGAAAACGGACCACAGACTCTTGGTCAAAATAGCCAGTCACAAAAGTTGGACTGTTCACTTCATCACTGTTTTCCTTTCTCCTATACAAAACAAAGACAGAGGGAAGGAAGATAGAAAAATGGGGGGGGGAGTAGAATGGTCCATTGATTCCTCCTCCACTTGAAATTAGTTGGAAATAAAGAGGAAAGTCCAAGTGGTGGCAAAACTCTTTTCTATAAGTATTCCTAGCGGGTCCCATTGTTTTAATAGGGTGGCAAATTTATACTTTCCCAGGACAAGTAAATGATATGGCTCCATTCATTTGCATAGGGAAGAGAGAAGCACAATATGATCCAATCATTACTATTGATTCTGTGTTCCAATACCACACTGAGTGCCCCAGCCCTAGAAATCTTTGCATTTCCTCAGTACAGCCTTGTGTTATGTAAATGACACTGAGGAAAGGTGACCATACAATGCATTGCAGGGCCCTTTCCTGGCTATTGGAGCTGAAATGTTTCCCAACTACTTCATTTGACTGGTTCCTGGTCCTCAGATGTATAGCCAAGGAAGTTAAGCTCTTCCTGTTGAGTCTTGAGCAACTGAACTCTGCTTCAGCAGCCTCCCAGCAGAATAGCAGAATAGGAAGGGGAAAAAGTCAAAATGGCAGCCTTGGCTGTGCAATTAAAAACACCATCATGACTTTTCTGACACAGTCACTCCTGCCCCTAATCCAATCTATAGCTTTCTTGCTTGCCAGATTCTTATAGGAAACACTTGGTTCCTGATATAGGTATATGCTAATAATTATAAATTAGATTTATAGGCTAAAAAACTGTGCTAATTATCTGGCACAATGCTGTGAACTTAAATCTGTACTTCTAGTGAAAATCAACTCTTTTTCATGGTTTCTCTTTGGATATTAAGAATGCTCTTTCTATAGTACGTTTTTAAGATAGATAATGTGTCTTAAGGGGAAAAAATATATTGAAGTTACCCAACTAGAAAATGCTACTTCTTATCCAATCAAATATGTAGTTGCTTCAGATTTTTTGTTTATGTTGCACTAATACACAGCTTATTGTCCAAATTGACTGGGTTTATACAATACTAAGCCATGTTGGTCTAACACATTCTAAGTCCAAAACAAGCATCTTAGCATCAGTTAATAGGTAGTTTAGTTAATTTCTAGTGTTAAAAAGTACATATTTCAGTTCCCAGTATTTGCAATTTAAATTGCTTCCATATCAGATGCCAAACGAAGGGAAGAAAACTGTATTTTAAGCCTGTATTGTCTACTCTGACTCGCAGTAATTTTCTGGCACATTTTTTCTGAATTTATCACCTCATATCTTAAAGAAAATGTAAGGAATGAATCTAAGATTTTTCTATGCAAAGCATATTTTATATAAAGGAAGCAGCATTCCATTCAAGAATTCATGTTTTTCATAATTAATTGCATCAAAGATGTTCATACAGAATAACAGGAATTATTGGTTATAGGGTAAAGCCTAAGAACTGAAAATTGTTTTATAATTGTTTGAATAATTCATGTAGCTGTAGAGAAAAACGTAAATAGTTTTAAGAGGGTTAAATGTTGTTAAATTAATTCTATTAAAGCATAAGTTGGATCCAAATGAAAGTTTTTCATTCATTTCTGTAAAAAAGTAAGAGCATGATGCAGCAATAATGAACTATGCGGAAATTATGATTGCTCCTAATTCAGCCAGATCTTTAAAAGGCGTGATGTAATAATGATTATTCCCATTTATTGATTCCTTCAGCTATAAAAATTATATTTAAATGGAACAAAATTCATTGTGTGCTTTACCTGGAATTAAAGATCTTGAATTTTAGACAGAATATTTTAAAAAGAAAAATTCCAGAAACGATCCAAATAATTGAAAATTATCCCCCTCTTTCTCCAAGATAATCTTTAAAAAAAGATTGAAACTCTTACATTCATTTCAGATAAAAATCTTATATCACCACATCATTTATTAACATTGTGCTTTTTTCAAAATAAAAAACCCTACAATTATATGAAAACCCAGTACATGCTCTTTACATTTTTCTGAAAAGAGAAAATGACGTGAAACAGAGTAAAATATAAAGCATGCCACTGGTTCATGAACTTCATTATACTAGAAAGAAAAAGGAAAAAAAATATCAAAGCAACAGACAGTTGCCATAGAAATATTCAAAGAGCTAACGCTTGTTTACAAGAGACATATCTCTATTGTTTTTTTTTCCTTCAATCCTTTCCTTAAAATGGCAAATCAAAAAGCGACTGAGCAAAAAGAATGAATAGCGGCAATTGAATAGGAAATCAAGCTTTGTATTTCAAAGGAGACAGAATTCTAATAATATTTGATCCACCCTGTTATTATTTTTTTCCTGTTTAGGTTACATCCCTGCTGTAGCTGTTTTCTTAAACTTAATTTTCACCATGGAAAAACTAAGATTAAAAGTAAGGCACCAAAAAATCTCTGCCACTATAGCAATAAACCACTATAAGGCTTGTTCATTCTTGCAGTTTAGCTGAAAACTGTGCATGTGCTGGAACTGTGTGTAGCATTTCAAATTGTGTCTCCATAAAAAGATGTTATTGTACCCTATCAATAAAACCAGACTTAAATACATTAGAATAATGTCACTTCTGGACCATAAAATGGGCCTATTCCATTTCATTTCTATGCAGTCTTTCTCACAGCTATTTTGATGGGCGAAATGCATTCTTCCTTTCGCTGGTAACAATTTGCTTATCAAATGTATAATTCATTGATAAGCATAAAGAAGATTCCTCTTAATTCATACTAGGTTCCCAAAGGGATGCATGAAAAGAATTGTATTTTCTCCATCTGGTTTATTGGTTCTTCTAGCAATGGAAGTATACAATGCAACTGTGCTCTTTGTAAGGATCCCATGTATTTATAAATAGCTCATGATGCAGACCATACATACTCTTTGATGGAATGTGCCCCACAGTCACTGAAAGTATCCATGAAGCTTATGACACAATTGTACCAGTTCTATAAAAGCATAAGAAAATTGATCCAAACTTATTTTTTTCTGATAATGTCAACACTGTGCTTGCTTCTAAACTGAAATTATTCAGAAGATGGCTCATATTTTATTTCCTTTACTGCAACAAATTTTGCTACCTGGTAAACACTCCCTTTTTCGTAAACACTTCTTCCAAGATTCATTCATGTTGCTCTTGTCATCGTGACCCATCTCAAAATAATTGTAATATTTGTTTTTACATTCTGTGACATGATCACTTTTCATAGATTCCCAGTCTGAAGCATGTTCTCGATCTATATCATGGCCTCCTTTCTCATTACTGAATATTGACTTGTCCTGATTATCATGTGGCCCAGCATTTGTAATAAAAATTTCATTGGCATGTATATGTTCGTCACTCCTGTAAACAGGGGAACTGTTGCTACCATATTCCACTTGTTGGGAACAACTTGGTAAAGATACAGAAGCGGCGGAATTCCCCACTGCAGAATTAGTAGATAATGGTAAACTTAAATAATGGCTGCCACACTCTTGATAAAAACAGCATGTGTGGATCTTTTCACAGTCCTCCCGTGCCATCCGAAGACGCTTCCTATAAGGACAGTCATGAGACATGAACCACTCTTGACTTGAAGTACCTCCAAAAGAGCAAGTAGGGAAGCACCAGTTGTTTTGCATGATAATCTCTCCATGAATTCTTTTCATTAAATTATTTATGAGAACAGATCTCCTTAGGTAGACTTCAGGGTCATCAATGTACTTCAGTTTTTCCAAAGACATGTAAAGAATATGTGCCCGCTCCTCAAATACAGAGATTGTCTAAACAAGAGAGAGGAAATAATAATAAACATGAATGCAATATTAATTAATTGAATCATGCCACTGAGATTTTATCCATCCATGCATCATATAATATTTGGGCAGTTCAATCTCTTTTGCACAGGAGAGTTTAGATCATCTTTTATCTTTATCTTCTATTAATTTTATTCCAATTTCTTTGATCATTGTGAGCTGCCCAGAGTCAGAGCTGCCCTATTAAAGAGGCAGCATGCAAGTTTAATAAATTATTATATTTTTATGGTTAAGTGGTTCCATTGTTGTTTATTGTCCATTATTATTCAACTCTCATAAATATCATTGGGAGCTGTGAAGCTTAATATTGAGTATATTCAACCTTATCACCAAAGTAAGACTTCCTAAATGAAGGAAACTGGATTTAGCTAGCAACTGAAAGAAACCACAGTGCTTGATGCTTAGTAATTCAATACCAATGCATCTTTGAAGAGTCCTTTTAATAGAAATGTGCTACTAAATAGAACAATATGTGAAAAAGTATAATAATTTTAGGAGAACAGCTTCCTTCTGGAGATTTGGTTGGCACCAAATCTGATGTCCTTCCATAAGACTTTCAAGACAGAGCTATTATGCAGAACAGTTGAAGTTTGATATTATTTTACTGACTATAACAGAGCCTTGGTTGTTGAGTGATACTTTGTGCTATGTCTTGATCATGAGTTTATTTATTTATTTATTTATTGGTTCGATTTATATGCTGCCCTTTTCCGGAGACTCAGGGCGGCTTACAATGCGTTAAGCAATAGCCATCATACTTTTTGTATATATCTGCTTAATAGGGCTTTCGGCCCACCGCTAAGCAGTGTTCTTTTTTCTACAAAGTCAACTTATTGCTTCCACAAACCGGGTCCTCGTTTTACCTACCTCAAAAGGATGGAAGGCTGACTCAACCTTGAGCCTGGTGAGATTTGAACTTGCAGTAATTGCAGGCAGCTGGTGTTACTTAACAGTGCTTTAGTCTGCTGCACCACCAAGGCTCTTTAATTGTATACTTTTTAATGTATGCTATAAAATTTTATCATGTCAGATATGGCAGTATATACATTTAATAAATAAATAAATAAATAAACTATTAGTAGGTTTGGTGCTAAATCTAGTATTAATTACGTACTGTAATTTTAGAAAAGCAACAAAAATAGCAGATTATAAGGATTTGGGATTCATGTGTTATTCAGAATTACATGTACATACACTAATTCAAATATGTACATACACTAATTCATATGTTTCTATATAAAAATATCATAAAATTTCAGCACCAGGTAAAGTAATTTTAAAAAGAATTAATTGTTCACTTCAAAACCTGATTCGATTGCAATGACTATTGCTTATGGTTACAAACTGATAAATATCTGGTAGGCTGTTTCATGATTGCTGTAAAGCTATCTACTGGTCTCTGTTCTAGTTCCCATAGGAATCCTTTCTATTTTACAAAAAAAAAATCACTATTATTTTTAGCAACCTTACTTAGCAAAAAAGTCATGGTCTAAATGAACCATGAATTCTAACATTCCTTGGCGAATGAATTTTGAATTTCCAGATGTCCAGGCAACATAACAACCTTGCAATGTTTTCCTTATCTGTGTTATTACAGGCGGGAAAGAGAAAAAAATTAGTCCCAAGGATTGTTATCCTGGTGTCAAATTTCATAATGAGATACTTATGAGAAAAAGAAAGAGATAATGGAGAACAGAACAGGTAAAAATCTGTGCAGCTATGCAGTAAAATATTATTGCACTACAGTGCTGTTCTGGAGAAGCAATTTCTCTCTCTCTCTTTCTCTCTCTCTCTCTCTCTCTCTCTCTCCCTCCCTCTCCCTCTCTCGCTCTCTCGTGTGTGTGTGTGTGTGTGTGTGTGTTGTGTTAGTTCTCTCTTGAATATTAAAGTTTTCAGACAGTGCATTCAGAAACATGTTCTGTATCACTGATTCCTAAACAAAGCCATAAAATAAAGCTTCCTCTTTGCAGAAAGTCTGCTTTTGTTATAAATTAGCATCTATACACAATTAACACAATGATAGTAATTTTACTACCTATCTTAATAAAGAAAGCCAGGTGAATAGAAACAAATTTTAATGTTACTGAGGGTTTTTTTAATCACTTACACCCCCACCCCCAAACAGAGTTAAGTATAAAGCAACTGCACTATTGATATTGTTGCTGTACATTCGTTGTTGCTATTATGATTGCCATCATCATTATTATTAACATGGGTGCTGATTATCTGAATGGAAAAACCCCCAGAAGGCTTTTCTATCACCTTTTTCTACTGCATCCCTCAAACACCCTTCTGGAAGGCTATGAAACTTCCTCAAGCAATATAGAACGCTGGCCATGGAATTCCCAAAATTGGAAGTCCACAAGTCTTAAAGTTCTCAAGGTTAGACATCCCTGATTTATATGATCACAGGGCAAGAGTAGACCACTCTTGTCATTCAGTGCAAACTTTTATACAACACTTGCTTACTTTAAAAACAATGTGCCCCCTACTCAAGTCTCAATGTGGTTAAACCAAAATTGCACAACCTACTGCTATATTAAATCAAGATGGTCATTTATGATCTGAGCTACATTTTTTCCTCACTTTTTATGTGTTTAGTTTACCGTCATGAGTTTTTAAGATCTTGGCAGGTTGGACTCTATGACTACTCGTTGGATAGTACAAATAATCCAATAAGGATTTTTCCCCCAATATGGTTTACATGACCCTGTTTATCTATTCTGTGAATTTGAGGCAGTATTTTTTTAACAGCAGGATCTTGTTCTGGAGGGAAAGGATTTTGTGCCACTTGAAGTTGGGACTTTATTCCCTGTGGCTACTCATCACTCTAGCACAAGTTTTTTTGAGCAAGCTAACCATGCTAATAATTAAGATTTCCTGTCATTTTCATAACTTCATAAAGATAATGGTGCCTCTATTTGAAAATGAGAGATGGATATTATTTTCTAAAGGTTTAATGAATTGGCCTTATTGTCTGGGATTTAAATTGGCTCAACAGGTTCATTAGACAGAACCTTTGTGTCTTCATCTCCATATAACAGAATGCTATTTGGTTCATTTCTTTCCCTTGTTATGAGTAAAAAGTAACATCTGAATTAAAAGATGTTAGATTTATAAAATAATACAAATTTGTATAGAATGCTAAGGTTTGACCAGTCCTCTAAGACAAGCCAGATAACTTGGCCTAGAAGTTAGATTTTATTTTGTTTCTAAAAGACAGTAAATTGCAATTTTTTTCAAATTATTATTAGACATATAGAATTAGATTGCTTGCTTCAAATTTTATATCTCAATCAGAATACTGAATTCCTGTTCCCCTAGCTTGAAAATAATCAGAGCTAGCAAAGATACTGACTCCATTTATATGTCACATGGTATGGTACAGTAAACTAACATTGGGAAGAAAAGATGTGTCAACTATAAACTCTGATTTGAGACTTCCAAACAACCTAGAATGGGATCCAAGGACAACCCATGGCTTCCAGCTCTGGTCCATATATTACAGTAAATGTATCATGGAAAGAGCATCTATGGGTTTGCTGAGCCATTTCTGGGGCGTAGGAGTATACATCTGCATGTTTTTGTTTTGTTTTTTGTTCCTGATACACCAGGACTCTTCCGGGTTCTGGCTTTCTATAATGTAGGAACATAGCCAGTATTAATGGTCATCTCTGATTTATCTCTGATGCCTCCCGTGTGCATCTTGCTTCCTTCCTTGCCATCTTTGTTAAGATTTAAGTCAATTTTAGTGTTCATTTCTTTTTTTTTCAATTTAAAAACAAACTTTATTGAATTTAAAAATATTAACAAACAAAAACGAAAAGAGAGAATATACAAATTTTCTCTCTCTTAAAATTTACATTTTCAATCCATAATTACACTAACAAACTAAGTACATATGATTATATAAAACACATATATACAAATCTACAGACAGTGACTTATTTACCTTTTCTATCTATCTGACGGTGCATTTTTTTTTTAGTGTTCATTTCAATTATGTTAATGCTTTAATATTTCATCTTCTTGCTTTTATTGATTGTACACTGCTTAGAGTTATCTCTAAGTGAGTTAGGCAGCATGTATGTTTAACAAATAAATAAATTTACATGCAATGGAAGGTGCATTCAATATTTTGAGTGAGAAAGATTCTATACTCAACAAACCATAAACCATTTGTTCAATGATCATTTATGAACAGCAGAGGGAAAGTTACATTCTCATGATGCCAAGAGACTATTAATTTCTGAGTTGATACAAAAGAATTGCCCAGTCCAAATTTTCTTCACTAAAACAGAATTGATAGCAATAAAGAAAATTAAAGAATCGACTTGTTTATATTAACAGATTACATGTTTAGAAAAAGGAGACATACTTTTTTTTCAAAAACATACTACTATTTATGAAAACTGAAATGCATTGCACTCAAGCAAATAGAAATTATACAATTTCAAATAAGAAACTCAGAAGTAATGGCTTTTTGAAACTTACTTTGGGTGTACAGTTACTGAGTGGTGGATGAAAATCTTCTTCTTCCACATACTTTCTTTTAAAATATGTGACCTTAGATGGTGCTACAGGGTTTGGATTTCCTCTGTGGTGTAATACTGTGGGAAATAGATTACATATGGTGTAAACTGTGTCTGACAGGTACAAAGACCAATAAAGGAGAATGTTTGTAGCTCAGAGTTGAAATGAGGGATTCTTGGTGTTCTCTGAGCTTGGTTGTTTTCTTGCAGATATTTCATTATCCAAATGAGGTAACATCACCAGTGCAAAAAAATATAAAAGAGAAAATATTCCAGCTTGTCTTTACTGCTTTGGACATATATATGTATGTGTATGTTCCGATGCAGTAAAGAGAAACAGGAATATCTATCTATCTATCTGTCTATCTAGCTAGCTAGCTAGCTATCTAGCTATCTAGCTATCATCTATCTATCTATAATATTTAATAACAGTTTATCTGAAAAATAAATTGAAGCAATAGAAGTTTTTCCAAAAGATTTATAAGAAAGAAATCTGTTTATTTAAGCATAGTTGTCACAGTTTAGACATTTTTTACATACTTGACTTTAAGGAAGTTTTATCCTATGCATCCAACCCATCTGGAAAAAAAACCCTGCAGCTTTCATCACTGAACTCTTTTTTAAAATAAGCACCTATGCCATCTTAAAAAGACCAATAATTTTAATACATTGCTAATGAACTGTAGCTATTTATAATCCTCAAGATTGGTTTAACCAGAAATATATTTATTGAAATTATGACAGATATTCTTGAAAATAAAACTTTTTTTTATCCCTTTTTCATCATCTCATATTTTATTATATGCTTATATGTTCCTGAACGATGCTATTTAAAATGTTAATAAAGATGAATGAGTAATGCTGAGATAAACCAATTCTATGGAAGCCAAAACTCTTAGAGTTCCTCTGTGGAAGGGGAACTCCCACTTCATAAAACCTGATGAGCTTTGCGACAGCTAAGGAAGAAAGACAAAGTGGTAACATTTCTCACTTTTTAGAAATGTCTCCTCCCATTGGTTTTTGGATGCTATCATATCATGTCAAACCTATCATATATACACTGTTCAAAAAAATAAAGGGAACACAAGCAGAAGACATCCGAGATCTGAATGAATGAAATAGCCTTATTAAATACTTTGTTCGTTGCATACAGTAGTTTTGTGTTCCCTTTAGTTGTTTGAGCAGTGTATAAATTACTGTAGGTAAAGGACAAAGTATTTAATAAGGTTATTTCATTCATTCAGATCTCGGATGTCTTCTGCTTATGTTCCCTTTATTTTTTTGAGCAGTATATTTTTCTGACCTAAAACCTCTATTTGGTCTATATCCTAGTTTTTTGGTCCTTGAAAGCACCAAAGTAGCAGATTTTTCCCAACAACCTCTGCTGTTAAAAGCAAACAAATGAGTTGGATCATAAGTGCGAGGACTGGTCGTAAGTGCGAGGACCTTCCAGAAATGACTCTGACCAGCTAGCCATGCCCACCTAGTCACATGACCTCCAAACCACACCCACAAAATAAGCCACGCCCACAGAACTGGTAGTAAAAAAATTTAGAACCCACCCCTGCTCTGCAGCCAACTTCCATCTCCATAAGCAGCCTTCTCTTGTACCACAAATGGTATTGCACAGTATTTTATGCTCTCCCCACCCCAAAAACCACATGACTGCATTTTAAATGAGATAATGTCTGTAGAACTTGATTTCTCATTGGCCAAACTTCTAATAAATAATTTCCCCTGAAATGTGAGTAGACAAATGGTTATTGTCTCAAGTGCTTGCATTTTTTTTTTATTTTTTCAGATTTTTATCTCTTTCACAACAGCTCTCTTATTGTAGAAGATAAAGTAGATTTGTATGACCCCTTCTGACAAGAAGGAACAATGTCCTTATGGGTAGACAAATCTTATTTGTAATTTGTGTATCAAATATGCATAATTTGCTCTAAACCAATTTGAAATGTTCTTTAAATTCGATATAAAGGAAGTGATTTGGAACAGGTAACCAAGATGTAATTACTCTGAACTCTTTAGAGCCCGATGGATACCACAATTTAGTCTGAATCATGGTATTCCAATCAGACAGTGTGCTACCACAGAGAGTAAAATTTTAATTATTGCTAGCATTTAATATGGGCACCTGTTTGAGAATCATTGTATTTTCCCCATGCTTTTTTAAACTTGAAATAAAAGCTATACAAAATGAAGTGGGCACAAACTTCATTTTCAAAGAGGGTACTAAAGGACTTAACCCTATTATCATTTTTGATGCTAACTATCAAAGTTGGAATAAGACTTGTATATATAGTTATTTATGTCTAAAATATTGTTTTGGCAACTAAAAATGTTTGTAAGCACTACAAAGAAAACATTAAAACATTTAAACCATCGCCAGCATTGTGGGAGAGGAATGCTTCATAGATCACTATCCAGTTTATTTTATTAATATGGATTTTAAATTTTAGCCTTCCTTCCTAGAGGTCTTTTGTAACATATATTTAAATCATGCTTCTAGTGTAATTCTAAAGCCAAATTTAACATAAGGCATCTTTAAGCATGTGTAGAATCATAAAACAACTATAGTATGCTCATATATAGTTGAAATCAGAGGTAAGGAAGAACCAAAGAGGCCTCCAATCCAGTTAAGATGCTTACTTAAACTCAGGATGGGAAATCTGCAGCTAGGTGACTGAATGCATTCTATGGTCTTATTTAATGTGCAGAAACAGAAAGCAAGGGAACTATGCAAGCTTGTAAGGCAGAAAGCTCTATTTTTGGCACTGGGTTCATATACCAGCAGCTCTCACTTCATTCATCATTACTTGAAGCAGCCTCCCCCAGTGACTCTCTTCATGGGTCAATGGCCTTTTATAGAAAAAGGCTCTTCTACACATACATCTGAACCATAGTCAAGTAATCAGGAATAAATCATGATAAGCCTCAGCTTTGTCTGTTTTCTTCCTAAAGTAATATGAAAGGCTCTGCTTTTACTGTAATGTACAGCAATCCATATTATGTCCAAATTTGAACAAATATTCATTTAAATTAAAGTTAGTTAATTCACATAGATGTGAAACCACTTGGCTCCAGTTTGTTTTGGATAACTTTGGTTAAAGGAGATTTCAATTCAGTAAGTTCCAACACAAAACTAAGGGTTGCTCTATAAACTATTTCATTTTTCTTCTCACAAACACAAAGCAGTGAAGGGAGAAACACTCTCCTAAACCATCACACTGAGATCAGTTCAAAATTGCCTCTGGAAGGAAGTCAAAGCCTCTTCCCTAAAAATCCCAGGATTTATCCTAAATTCAGACAGGGGATGGGGCTTACCGTAGGAACTCAATGGAATGAAACACACACACACTCAGAGAGAAAAAGAGAGAGAGAGAGAGAGAGGGAGGGAGGGAGGGAAGGAGAGGGAGGGAGGGAGGGAGGGAGGGAGGATGAGAGAAATTATTCTTAAATGGGGATCAAACAAGAGTCTTGTCTAAGCAGTCCATGACATTTCAGCTTACCGGGGGAGCCTTGTCATTAAATATACTGCCATACAAACTAAAATAGTTCAAAATGACAAAAAATAAAGATGTGCTATAATTCTACTTGATATCTAATTCTGTGACTGTGGTTTGATTTTGGAACAAAAATGACCACCTTTTATGGAGCATCATACAAGGAGCTCCACCAGACTGCCTAATGTGATACAATCCAGGCACAATTTTATCATGTCATCCTCGGTTTATAAGGTCTACCCTCAAAAGACACCCACCTCCACTTCTCTCCACTCTCTCTTTAAATATAGGTATATTATGTAAATTCCAAAGCTCATCTGCACCATTCACATAGGAAAATTGAGATTAAGTTGGAAAATGCCTCTCATTTTGAAAAACAAACCATCACGCATCTGACTAGAAGTTGAATTTATTTGAAGTTCATATTTTTCTCCATTCATATTTTTCTCACCAGAACTCAGAAAAATCTAACAATTAAGAAAGAAAATTTGAGAAACTTATGAAAAGTGCTGGTTTTTTTTTAAAAAAAAAAAAAGTAATCAAACGATTACCCTTGAATGCAGTAAGACAAAGAGGATGTTAGAGAGACAATCCATTGACAAGAGAACCAGCAAAGGAGGCCTTTGCCTGCACTAAATCTAATTCATCATCAGAAGTCATAACCATTGCTGCACCACCTATACAAACACACAGATTGGCCCCCTTTTGCTTTTGCAACATGGAAAGCAAAGCAGCCAAGAGAACAGAGATCACCCTCCAATGTTATCCAGCAGCCATAGGATCAGTTCAATCAAAAGCTTCTCCATGAAAAGCATTAACTTTTACCTTACAGAGATTTTCCATAGAGCAGTTTGTCCTAATGCATCTCTTTTTGGTTCATCAGCCCCCTACCCCAGCCCTGCCTGTCACATCAGTGGCCTCTTACTATGTTAACTGCATGAAATGCCCATGTTTGGACAAAGCTCTCCTCTGAGTACCAGAAACTGAGGGAAAGCAGCAGCCAAAACCGAAGTGTTTTTGCCTCTTGCCCTGCTGGTGAAATTTCCATTAGCGGAAAGCCGATTTGTTCACCCCCTTTACAAACAAGATCCTGAAGCAGAAAGATTTTGAATCAGTTCAGGCCTTTCCTAAATCTCGAGTAATAATCCGGAGCTAAACATTCCTACTCTAAATCTCCCTGACAAATTGGTTGCAGAGAGAAATGAAAGCCGAACCTAGCAACAGCCACCGAGTCAGTGTGCTGGAGTGCTTGAGACGTTGGACTGGGACTTGTTCCCACGTCCCCTCCATCATGGAAGCTTTCTGGTGGATTTCTGGTGGATTTCTGACCAGTCAGTCCTTGAGCACCCACTACCTCCCAGGACGATTGGGAGGAACCCAGCGGGAGTAATTCTACACTCGCTGCATTGCGCTCCAGGAGAAGCCGGGGAGGAGGGCGAGCTGTTCTGTAGCGTTACCTGAGGGCGGAGGCTGCCCAACCGGTGTCCGGTCGTCGCTGCCCTGCGGCGGCGGCGGCTGTTGCGCCTGCCCCTGGGCGGTGCTGCTGCTGCTGCTGCTGCTGCTGCTGCTGCTGCTGCCGGCGACGGCATCCGAGGCGGGGCTGCTTTTACTGCAACAGCGCGCTTCCCACAGCGGCTGGAACTCACCGGCTCCTTCGGAAGAGACAATGGGCTCGCAGAAGCTGCTCAGGGGCAGCACCAGAGTCATCGCGGCGCCTCCGATCTGCAAATGGAGACAAAGATAGCGCGGCCGGTCAGGTCGGGCAGCCGCCGCCTTTCCTACCTCCCCCGCCACGCGCCCGCGAAGCTCGCCCTGCCCTGGCGTACCCTTATCCGGCAGCGGCCATTGCGTGCCTGCGCTCTGCAGTCAAGCTGGCATTTGGTATCTCCGCCGAGCCCTTGGCCTTCTCCTACGGCCCCGAGGGACCGGTGCCTCCCGCTCTCGCTTGCCTTCTGCACCCGTTGCCCTCTCTCACCCTCCTCTCGGCGCCGATTGCCTCGGTCAGTTCCCGCAGCCGGCTCAGAACGTCTCCGTCGGTTCCGATTTTCCCTTCAGCACCTTGTATTTCACCTATTGCTTAAATGGGGAGGACGATCCCGAGAACTCAATCACCCGTTCCTCCGCGATGCATTTGGAAGCGCCGCCGATCCCAGGGTCTCGTCTTACGTCCAGCCAAATGGTTCAAATCGCAGCCCTTCCCCAAGCAAGGCAACCCTTTCTCCCCGTTCACTGACCGTCTGCCCAAAAGCCCTTGGCTGCCGCTCACGATTCTTAATTCAGATTTCCTCTACAGCGAAAGAAAGAAAGAGAGAGAAAGAATAAAGAAAGAAAAAGAGAGGGGGGAGGGAAGGAAGGAAGGAAGGAAGGAAGGAAAGAAAGAAAGAAAGAAAGAAAGAAAGAAAGAAAGAAAGAAAGAAAGAAAGAAAGAAAGAAAGAAAAGAAAGAAAGAAAGAAAGAAAGAAAGAAAACCAATCTGAGCAATATATCCAACTGCAGAGGAATCACTTTATTATCTACAGATACACCGATCCCAGAGACGGCATTGTGTATTTGTCTCTTACGAGTGGCTTGTTGGTTGGCCTGCCTCTCTTTGCCTCTCTCTCTCCTTTCTTTTTCTTTCTTTCTTTCTTTCTTTCTTTCTTTCTTTCTTTCTTTCTATTCTCCCCCTCCCTTCTTCCTTCTTCTTTACCTCCCCAAGCGAAACAGAGCGAGACTCTTAGGTAGTTGTTTCCACCAGCTCCTATTGGGTTGAACTGGATCTGCCTCCAGTCAAAACACTGAGATTAAGACAGAAAATTGGCTCTGGTTTCAAGCGGTGAGTTGCAATCCCACAGGAGCCAAGCACAACATCAGTGGAGCAAGCAGAATATTAAACAGGAGCTGGGATTCCGGGGCCAGAGCCAGGCTGTAAACCATCTATCCAATCCCATTGCAAGAGAAGGAAAGGGAGAGGGAGAAGCAGCATTTCTGAGAAGGAGAGGCAACCCACATTACAATGTGCTTTCTACAGTAATGTGTATACTCCTTGGCACACAAGCCAGATGTCTCCTCAGCTCTATTTCCTACTCTTCAAGAAACAAGAATAATTCTGTTTTCCATCTTGAATATTTTGAAGAGATTTGATGACTGCCAAAAGGCATGTTTTCTCCAAAGTAAGAGTGCATGGGTGCTGGTAATAAATAAAGAATCAAAAGCTGATATTGTGTTAAGAATTATAATCTGTCTGGCAAAATTAATAATGAAAGTTAAAGGGGAATTCAAAGAATGGATGAGTTGACAGGGATTGTTTAAATCATTTAACCCAATCTTCAGTTTCAACAGAAAACAGATCTGCCCCTCTTAAATAGGATAGCCTTTTGGATATCTGTAGACCCCTACCATATCTCTTCCTAGTAAGAACTTTGGCAAATTAAATATGCCTGCATCTTTTAACTTTTCCTTATAAAGCTTGGCTTCTAATCTTTTTTCATCATGACAAATTTTCTTTGAATATATTCTAGCTTGTCTACATCTCTATTAAAGTGTGATTCCAAAAACTGGGCACAATACTCCCAAATATAGTTAAATCAGCTTAATTGCAACAAAAATACTACTTTCTGCAATCTGGAAACAATAATTCTGTTAATTCAACCCAAAATTGCTTTGGGCCTTTTAACTGCTGCATCCTCTTTGATCCTGTAATGGTCAGAGAGCCAGTCTGATGCAGTGATTAAAGGCACCAGGCTAGAAACTAGGAGTCTGTGGGTTCTAGTCCCACCTTAGGCATGAAATCAGCTGAATAACCTTGGGCCAGTTACCCTCTCTCAGCCCTAGGAAACAGGCAATGGCAAACCACTTCTGAAAATTTGCCTACTGAGCTCATTTTAGATTATGATTTTGTATTCTAAGTTAGTAACTAGTCTCTCTAGTTTGATACCATCTGCATATTCAACTACAACTTCCCTCCCTTTTGTTTTAAGTTATTTATAATGTTGTTAAATATCATTCATATGATGATGGAATCCCAGGGTTAACTTTCTTCCAGAGCAGTGAAGTAATGGTTGGGTATGGTTGGTCAACAAATTGCAAATATAGTGGACCAAGTTTCTTTTATTCCACATTTATCCATTTTATCCACAGGGATATCATACCTGAACTTGTCAAATCAAGTGCTAAAATCAAGATATCTACAGCATTCACTTAGTCTAGTAAACTAATCACTCTGTCAAAGTAAAACAAAATATAACTGATATGGCTTGGTTTTGACAAACCCATGCTGACCCCTCAGTGGTAGTGCCACTGTTTCCCAAGAATTCACAGAAATGTGGCTTCACAATTTATTTTGGGATATCCATTAAACAAATAGCTCTGTAATAATAATAATTATTATTATTATTATTATTATTATTATTATTATTATTATTATTATTAATTCAATTTGTATGCCGCCCCTCTCCGAAGACTTAGGGCGGCTCACAATGCATTTAAAATCATTATAAAAAACATTTAAGAATTAAAAACATTAAAATGATGATCTATAAACCCCTACATGGCTTAGGCCTAGGATATTTGGCAGACCACCTGCAGCCAGCAACAACTGCCCATCGTGCCCAATATGGAGGGCCTGCTCAGGGTGTCATCAGCTTGACAATGTCGGCTGGTGGCCCCCAGGGGTAGAGCCTTCTCTGTGGGCACACCCACACTCTGGAATCAACTCCCTTTGGGGCTCCTGCTGGCCCCTGACCTTCGCACTTTCCGCCACGAATTAAAAACTTGGTTATTCAAGTTCCCCGGCCTGGACTGATGGGGTTTTATATGGGTTTTTAACTTTTATCTGGTCTAATTAGGTATTTTATTTTTGTATTGTGGTTATTGTGGATTTTATTGTTGTGAGCCACCCTGAGTCCGTTGGAGATAGGGCGGCATATAAGTTAAATAAAATAAAATAAATAAATAAATAAAAACATTAAAACTCAAAAATTTCCCCAAACCTCATCCTAATTAAATATTGGAACTATGTTTGCCCTTATACTAGTTCCTTGAAGATAATTATCATTTCTTCTGAAATAACTTCTGCCAGCTCCTTCAAATTACAACATAATTTGCCTGGTCCTGGAAACTTCAATTCATTTAAGACAACAAGGAGAGTTCTTTGTAGACTTTGTAGACTTTATCAACCTGGAGCTCCATCCATCCCTTGAGAAAATGAAGAAGTGCTCTCACTCTCTCCATTGTTCTTATGAGACTAAGAGATTAAGAATATTACAAATGAGGGGCATTCCAGATTTCCCCTGGATAGTGTTTACATGCCTGCAGACCATCTTGCCATTTCAGTCAACAATCAAAAGAGGCTGCATTTACTCTTGTGCATAGAAGGACTACAGCTCAATTCACAGGCTAATGTTTGTCTATCTCTCTTAATTGCCAAATATGAATGGTTAAAGTTTGGCAATATTTCTATTGGGCTAAGGATGAAATATGTGTTCCACTTTTACCTCAATGCATATTCTTACCTCAATGCATATTCAAAGGAAGGTAGCAGAATGAATTCAGATTAAATGATTCAAATTAAACAATTGTGTCATTTACACCATGTCCCATCATTTTCACATCATCATAACATAATGTCTGTGAGCAAGACACTCAATTGTAGGAAATTGTCAATCTGGATCTGAATCTACACTCCAAATCTCTTATAAATGTTATGTCTGATATATTGTGGGAATTATAAATGTTATGTCTGATATATTGTGGGAGGCATACTATCTTTAGTGCACTTGAAGTGGGATATTCTTGTTATTTTGTTGCTGTACCTTTGATTACAGAAAATCAATCTTGTCCTTGAGAACGTAGACTAACTTTCCACAATAAAGGAGCATTTTGGGACTTCCCCACTAATGATTATAGGATTACCAAGCCAAAAACTTGCAATATAAAACCATCTTCACTACATTTGGGGCTACACAAACTGCCAGTGCTGCTGCACTATGGACCAACTGTAGCTTCCAAATGGTCTTCAAGGGTAGCCCCATGTAGAGTGTATTGCAATAGTCCATCTGTGAGATGAGTAAGGCTTGAATGACTGATCTAGGGACTCCTGATCTAGGAGAGGCCACAACTGGCACACAACCTGAAGTTGCACAAAAGCTTTCCTAGCCATGACTTCCACTTGGTCTTTGAACAGGAATCATGAGTCCAGGAAAACCCCCAAGTTGTAGATTGGATCAATCTGGGTTAATACCACCCTATCAAGCAGCATTAAAGATGTCAAAGTCCTGTATCTTGGAGATCCATGTACCTAAAGACATTCAGTCTTGCCAGGATTCAGTCAAAGCCTGTTGTCCCCATTTATCCCCACAGCCTCCAGGCACCACAAGAGAGCACCAACATTATCACTTCGATGACCAGGGGTGAAAATATAGAGTTGGGTATCATCAGCATATTCCAGATACTTCAACCCATAGTGACAGATCATCTCACCCAGTGCTATTATCCAGTCGTATTAACATAGATACTGTATAACAATTATTCAGTAGTGTAACTATACTATAAGATTCTTGCTTTTTTAAGGCCACCAAAGTGTATGAGCTATCTTACATATCTATTCTTATCCAGCTAGCCACTTCTACAGGCCTCCCATTTTGTTATTATTTTCCCTCTCCATCATTCAGTTTCATATTCTATGGACTATTGGGGAAATGAACTTTCCACCTCCTCAATTTTTATTCTGAAATATTTTTTTTGCATGCTTACAAGCTTCAAGTTGTACAATAACTCTGCTGATAACTGCAAATTTTTGTCTGAACTTCAGTGGTATGGAAGCCTAGATGAAATATGAATTGAATTCAGTTTATAATCCTTAGGCTATCATAGGCTTTCCATGTTGCCAGCCAAGTGAATACATTAAGAAAACACCCTGAGGCAACCAAGCAGCCTGAAGGTTAAAATTTCATTACATGTGTGCAGTTCTGTTGGGTGATAGACTATTCCATTTTCTCAACTGTTCCATTTTCTCAACTATTCTATTTTCACTTACTATTCCTTTAGAGTCATTATGATGCTAATGAGAGAACTGTAATGATGCCATTCACAATGTCAAGGAAAAAAGGTATTTATGCATTTCTAGAAAGCCACTAAAACAGAAGTTAAATTTAAAAAACTTGTTACAACAATGCTGCAAATCTCCTGAAATCCCTACAGGCCAAAAAGTGGAGTGGAGATAGAAGCAATGTGGAGTATTGGTAGGGCCTCATTAGTTACCCTACATTCTGCAGCAACAGCATGTGGCATTACTAATTCTAAAACTCTTTGATTTCTTAGTTGTAAGAAATCATTCTTTTTTATCTGTACTTAGGAAAAGTATACTGAATTTACATCTTTGGATCAAGAAGTGTGTATTTATAATTGTTTGACAATAGCATTACTTGATTTTAAATTTAGTGACTAAAATATATTCTTCTCATATTTTTATAATTTTTAATTGACGGTTTTATATATTTATTGTTTTTTTATTAAGTCCTATGCACTGCCCAGAGACACTTTCATGTGAGATGGGCAGCTATACATATATGATAAAAATAAACAAATAAATCTAAGATCAATTTGTAGAAGCAGATATCCATTTTATCTAATGCAGAGTAAAAAAAAGGCTGATACAATGCAGAACCTTATTAATCTAAAGGAGATATGTCTCCAATGTCCAATGTTTAATTACATATGTCAATTGGGGAGAAAGTCATTGCATACAAACCAACTATATATGTTCTATTTTGAAAGTGATGTATTGTGGATATATCAACCGCCCTAGCATTTTCTTTCCTTTTTTTCAATCTGGCTTTTTGTTTCCTCCAGGATCTTTGTCTGTTATTTCTTTTCTGTTTAAGATTAATGAAATAAAACACAGAACAATTCTAATGTTTCCAATAATTGACAAATATACCTAATCCCACATACATTCATCTAGAAGAAGGCATTAGAACTTGGCATTTAAAACATCAGGGCAGGACTTCCAGTAAATTCAGCATGAAGGTAAGTCACTGAAAAACACTTTACACAACAAGGCAAACACATTCATTCATTTATTTATACATTCAATTTTATGTATTGCAAACTATTGAGGTAACTCAGTAGTTTATAGTAATACAACATAGTACTTCATTATGCCTGTCAAATACACAGATTTCAAGGAAGGTTATATCTCACATACTAGTTTGCTTGTGGAACCTTGAATTCTTTTCAGTAACATATTTTGATTGATTTAAATAATAAATGTATTTTCTCATCAGATTACATATGAAATAAAACCGCTACTCCTTCAACAATTTATCAAAAAACAGAATTGTCACCATACCTACCACTATATAATTTAAATGGCAGAAACTGCACTGCTATTCATAGTCCATATAAATTCAGGGAATCTTGGTTTTTACTGATTTTTTCCCTGAATTCATATACTTCCAATATGGAATCCTTTGTTATTTTTAAAAAAATAACATTGAGGGAATGGTTAATTTAAGGAGAAAACTGTTGTCAAAGATTGGGAATCACTCAGAATTTGGTATAAGATGGGTAATTATATAAATGTTTTAAATAAATTAAATAAATAATTGGTAGAGTTGCAATATTTTACGCAAACCTTTTATGTCTACCATCCAATACAATAAGTATAGGATTTTTATTGTATTCACAATTTTCCTTCCTTCCTTCCATTGTAAAGCTGACTTGAAAAATATGTAAAGGCAAACAGTACTTGATATATATCTTTACAGAACTAAGAGATGAACCCAAAGTGCTGCTTTTTTCTCTCAGGCAAGGAAATGTAATGGAATATATGGAGTTGGGGGACAATGTAAAGCAATGTTGCCTATCAACAATCTGCTGATCAACAATAAGAGAAGAATAGTGGAGAGCCAACAAGGGCTTAATGGTCAGAGGAAAAAACTTAGGAAGGACCCATCCTAATAAATCAGATAGTTAAAAGTGGCAACAGAAAGTTTTTACTTTCTGACTTGCAACATTCTGTTAATGTACCCTTACAGTAAAATAGGTTTAGCTCATGTAGTCATGTTTTTTATCTTGTTTTTTTATCTGTAGTAAGATTATTGATGTAGAAATATGAGGTATTAGGTATTTTAATTTCTGCTGGTGAGTTTTAATGATATTTTAAATGAATGTTAGCCACTCACATGGCAAGTGGTTAGTCAAACATATTAAGTGAGTGAGTGAGTGAGTGAGTGAGTGAGTGAGTGAGTGAGTGAGTGAATGAATGAATGAATGAATGAATGAATGAATGAATGAATGAATATAGAAGCAGAAAAGCAATTGCCAAATGTCTGGCAA